GTCACCAACCTTCCATTCCCAGCCAGCTATTCAAAACACAAAAACCATAATCAGTTCTATATATACATATATAAAGGTTTTTCACAGACAGACAAAGTTCCTTTGTTTTGGGCGGCTGTCTACATTTTTCGCCTATTCCGCTAAATGCTCCTTCCTCCTTTGCGGCATTATTACTAAACTTTTAATGCTATTACATGGCAATTCAATTTTATAGTAATATATTTTGTGCATAAATATCTACACTAAAAAAACCAATTAAATTTTTTTTTTTTAAATGCTATAAGATTTAAGAAAAAGTGAGTTTTATGAATTAATTAGTGGATATAATAAAAAAAAAATTTTAGTAATTAACAAATTACCTTATTAATTTTATGATTTGGCTTCCATATTAATAAGTAGGATTAAAGAAGGTTATGAAATTAAAATACTTATCTTTTTTTTTGACCTAAATAAAGAATAGTAAAAATACGCTTTTGTTTCTTATTTTATATTTGGAGAAGAGTTGAAAAGAACATTATAGTCAGCTTCCAAGGCTACATAATACCAAATCAAGCCCCCGGGGATTTTTTTTTTTTTTTTTTTACCTCCAACTTTGGTGCTGTAATGGAGTGGTTGCCTGCTAGTAAAATGGTGCTTGCTGATGAATAATCATATGAAATGCTACATTGAATTTGTACTTGTCCTTCCTGTTAATTGAACTGGAATTTTTCCTATTGTAAGAATACTAAAAATGCCATACAAATTATATTCCTATGATAAATACTACTAATAAATAGCAAATATATTAGGATCTTAATTATTATTATTAATTATTATTATTATTATATTTCCACCTATGAGCAAATTTAATGCCAAATTATTTATTTATTTGGAGATTATTAAACCTTGTGAAGATTTTGAAATGTCCTTAATTTTAGTTAAAAAAAAAAAAAAAAATCTTATTGAAGATTTAGATATGAAAAAAGACAAAAGAACCTAATTTGCAATTGCAGTCTAAACGGGGATTCTAAAAAATGGGAGGAAATTATCAGGGCAAAATTTCTTTTTGTTGTATCAAACTATCAACCATCATGTATAACAGGGATGGAAGCAATGCGAATATTTTAGGGTATCCGCACTGCTCAAGCCAATCAGTTTAAAAATGTTATAAATAATTATAAATTGAGTTTGAGAATAGTATGAACAAATCAAGTTACTTTCAATACTATCAAAGGTAGGGTATATACATAGATCATTTGAGATATCCGCTAATCCGTTAATTACTTGCTATATAAAAGAATTGATAATAGATTTCAGCATATATTTTATCCATTATTAATAAAATAATATTTTAAATAGGTTTCAAATATTGAATATTTAGAATTCATAAGTATTCTGTTTATTTTAATATATACTTTAAATGAATTTTTGGATGAATATATGTTAATAAATTCCTAAATGTTTAGCGGATAGCTTAAAAGTTTACAAACCACTCAAAGCCTCACTTCCAATGGCCTCAATTCGTACAAATCAACTTCGATGCATCTTCTTGACACCAACAGACGGCCATTAGGCAAACATTCCATCATCATCCAATTACCTAATTAATATCATAAAACCACAATTATAAAAGGTTAACAATTGTGATTTTGTCAATGAATAGAAATTAGAATGAAAGTTTTGAGTACAATTTTGGAAATACAATCTCCTAAAAGCTTAGGTAAGAAGGTCCGTTTTGGCCTTCTCACCGCAATATTGGGATATACACTAAATACATTTTTAAATAAGGAATAATACGAGCATTTTCACCTAAAAATAAATTTTTTAGAAATTTAAATTAATCAAAAATTATGATAATTTAAGCACTCAAAGACAAAAATCCACTTGTAAATCTCACATGTCTTATATTACATTTTTAGTGTCCTAAATTTCTTCTAATTTTATTGATTACAAACCTGTAAAATTATGTAATTGATTTGAAAATCAATAAATAAACAATGTAAAACCATAAATTTACTTATCATTTAATAACCATTTAAAACCTTGATAAAGTTATTTTTTTAAATATGGTTGTTATTAGTAAGAATAACTCGAGAAATATATATATATAGTTATATATATATATATATAATTATTAAAATTTAAAAATTCTCATTTTTTTTAAATTTGTTCTCTAAGAAAAATAAAAACTTTTATTAATTGAAATTTCGATTAAAAATTTAATAATAAAACAAATCTTCAAGTTTAAGAAAATAAAAATCGAAATTTTATTTTTAATTCTGTCCTTAAACCCAAAAAATATTTTATTACAAAATAGTTATCCATTTATAATTTATTACATTTTCTTTTTCTTCTCAAAGTTCACATTTTATTTGTTTGTTTTTTACTTTGACAAATTCAGTAACCTGACATCCTCGTACCTAAAGCCAGTAACTTGAAAAATATCTCTATGACGTTGTCAGAACTCCCGGAACAAAATCGTAATTAAGCTCTGGCAATAAGGGTAATTTGGTCCTAAACACATGACAAGGTTCATTTCGTAAATTTCCGCCACCACACAAAGCTTCCAACTTTATACCCCCACGCCACTCTTTCCACTTGCCTCATTCTCTCTCCTCTGTCCTTTTCCTGTTCTCCACTTGAGAAAGAGACAACAGGGAAGCTGCGAACTAGAGAGGGAAACATATATATTAATACATATGCAGTAGTGATAGAAAAGAGAAAGGAAATGGTGGATGATTTTAATTTGTGTGCGTGACAGAATCATTGCTTCTGCTTGCTTTTGAGTCGGTTAAATGGAGAAAGAGACAGAAATGTCGAGGCAATAGCAAAAAACGAGAGTAATATAAACTTGAACAAGTAATGGAGAGGGTGTTTCTTTAAAAGAGAATGAAAGAAATGGTGGAATGTAGAATATGCCAAAGAAATGAGGTTATCTCTAATGGAGGCTTCCTTGCGCTTGCAATGGCACTCTAAAAGGTCTACACTTTTCTGGGTTTCTAGTATTTGGTTAGATGTTAAAATTTTGTTATAATTTGTCTCTGGCTTTTGAAATGAAATTCGCTCATTTTCTTCCTCCATTTATTTATTATTATTACTTCTTCTTCTTCCTTCTTCCCTTATATATTTATATTACTTCTGAGAAGACTGGTGCCTTTGTTTTGTTTTGTTCTATTTGGGAATGCGGTTTTTGAGCTTCGCTTGGTTTTTATAGTGTGTAATATTTTGACTCTTTCCTCCTTCCTAGGTTTTTTAATGTGAAATTTGGTTCACATGACCAAAGTCCGTGAAGAAAATAAAATAAACGGAGGCTCTTTTTTTTTTTTTTTTTTTTGTCAACTTTGTGTCTACACTCTATAGTTACAATCAGCACTCAATCAAAAGGTCCTGAAACCTTTCTCGGTTTTATTTAAATTTAGGTTTTCAAGTTGTTAACCATGGTCCATGCTGCATATGCTTTGCTTCCAATATATAGTCTACATTTTAATAAAACAAAAAATTTAGTTTAATACAACCACATGCGTCTTAGAATACACTGCTCTCTAAACAGGATGTTTTTAGGTAGTGGTGGGTTTGTATCATTTAATGATCAACTCCTTGGTAAAATGCCTTTTTAGTTCAATAATTGACTTTTTATATTTGTGTCTTTTTACCTATGGAATTGTGATTATTAACCTCCGGCCCTCCACCCGTTTGACAAGTAAAGGAGGGGGAAACCAAGTTGCAATAAAAATTTATGTCCTTTTAGTTTCGTATGTAAAAAGGTTAGAAAAACAATAGTTCAAGTGCTCCCATGCCAGGTTTTGCGAAATTGAGTTTTCAGTTGGTTCCTTTTCATATTTAAAAACTATAATTAAATGTTAAAAATATTGAGGTTAACATGTATTTCCTCAGCTAAAATAAAGTTTCCATACATTTTGCAGAAAGACCTCATTCCTCCTCTTCCAATTCCAAATCCTTTTTGGATTGGGATATCATTAGCCCTAGTTTGTTTCCATTAAAATGGTACCTTAGTCTTAACTAATTTTTTATAAGCCTTGTTAAAATTATTTTTAAAAGATCTTTCTGAAAGATTCGTGAAGCGTCTTCATCTGATTTTTGATTTTCAATTAAAGTATCAATTAAACGGATAAATTAAAAAAGATGTTTTAGTAATTGGGACATTTCAATTCGTTACGCATGTTAAGCTGCCAACTTTGTTTATATTGTGTATTAATCACCATCTTTTAAGAATTTTGTTTCCAGCCATGCTCCCAAGCTTGTAATGGTTAAAAAATTGAAATCTTTTTTGTTCTATTATTTTGCTGACCAAATTTGTGACAGATGAATATAATAAATTGAGCTCTATTGTGATTATATAGTAAAATCTTCC